ACGAGGATGGTAGGACCCGAACCCTTCACAGGAGTGGGTCCCCACACCATCAAGGAGCTGCTTCGTAAAAAGGAGAGAACAGGAAGGGAAGAGCACTGGCGACAAACTCATGGTGTGAGACACGCCAAGCTGCTAATGGGAGGTTACAACCTGAGAAGGTTGAAAATGGTAATTAACCTGCCCAAGAGCAAACTCAGGCTGTTAGTCGCATGGTACACTGGCCACTGTAAGCTGAATGGGCATCTGTACAGAATGGRCCTATCAGCTTGCRSCAACWGCCGGTWCTKTGACAGGGAGCCTGAAACTCCGGAGCATCTGCTGATCGACTGCACAGCAGTCTGAATTCGCAGAGCCAAGCCCTTGGAGTTCCATTTCCAGAAAGGGATCGCATTGCCTCGCTAGCGCCTAGCTGCCTACTGGACTTCATCAATGGGCTAAGCGAGGCAATGTAAGGAAGGAGAGGGCACAATAGACCAAAGGTCGCAGTGCATTCCTCATTATCATTCATTCATTCAAGGAACATAAAATGTAACGTATTAAACAAGGAAACAAAAAATTCAAGCTATGATATGTAATTCTTCGGGAGTGAAATAGGACGATTTAAAACAATTTCCAAATGAATATAGACTATTAAATATTCGTCATTTGCTTGCTGAACTTAATAGACTATTATTTTATAACTCTTAATATGCTCAAATAAGAAAGGACCCTTAACCAATTATCTTAATGTTAACCGAAATATTAGTTTTAAATTTCTTGGGGCTTGCATAAGGCACCTCAAGTCAAGGTTATTATTTTCCGTTCCAATAACAGTAGAGTCTAAGTAAAAACAACGCCACGGATTTTTATCCGCCTAAGGACTGTCAACTCGCCTCCATGCCTCAAAATTATTTCCGAAATATTTTCTGCCGCTAAAACAAAAACTCGGTTCTTATTTTTCACTAGTGATATATAATACAAGGTGTGTTCTAAAGTTAAAAAAAAAAACAGTTTTTAGGCAAAATGAATTTATTTTATTCAAAATAGTCTCCTTCTGCTTCAGTACAGCTTCTTGCACGGTCCAAAAGCATTCCGAATGGGTGTTTTAGATCGTTGGCCGGTATGACCGCCAGTATGCCGGTGCAAGGCTTTCGGATGACCTCTACATCTGTTTAACGCTTTCCTTTCATGGGCAAATGTATTTTTCCAAAAAGGAAGAAGTCGCACGGTGCCAAAATGGGATTTTTCGTCAAATAATCGCCCTTCGAATGTTGGATTCTGAGCAATTTTTGGCATACACCTTTCGTAAGCCCAAATATTGAGTCAAAATGCGATAAATCGATGATTTGGAAATGTTCAATTCCATTTCCATCAATTTCAATGATGACGTCGTCAGATTTTTGATGAATTCACGCACAGTTTAGATGGAATTTCCG